GGCGCCCCGGCTCGCCTCCGGCGTCTGCTCTGTGCGCTCACCTGGGGGGCAGAGAGCGGCTGGATTTTGACCGCGCCTCGCCGTCACCTGCAACGCAGGAACCGGCCGGACGAGCGCCGCGGCCGGGAGGGGCGAACGCGCATCGCTGCGGGCAAGCCCGTGCGAGGCTCGTGGCGCAGGGCAAGGGGGATAGAGGAGAAGGGGCTCAGGGCTGCTGGAGAGAAATAGCCAAGGGGGGGGAGGAGTGGAGGGAGAGAAGAAGGGAAAGAACAAGAAAAGCCCAAATTCTTCCAAGCAAAGCGGACGATGGAGAAGCTGGCGAGTGAAAGAACCGAGTCCTTCCATTTCCAGCACGTAAACATGTTCTGGAAGTCAGACCAGAGCTAGCGCTAAAGCGTAGCAATCTTTAACGAGGATCTCTCTTCGCCCGTGTATAGTTTAGCCCTCCCTCTCTACACAATATTGGCCCCTAATCCTCCAACCCCAGGCTTCGCTTGACTACCATGCGGCCCTCCCTTGATTTCCATGGCGCTACTTGCCATGGTAAAAGTGCAAATGAAAAGACAACTTTCCTAGTATGTGTTGGTTTTCTTAGAGCCCCAATTCCTGGATTCAGGTGATTGGACAAGAATCTCAACTTTAGTTAAATTTAAAAAAAAAAGACCAAAAAAGGTAAGTTCCTAGCCCTCATGGCTTTGGAGGGAAATTAAAAAAAATGCATCCTTAATAAAATGAACCTAAAGATTTGTATTAAAGCTCATGAGATTTAAGCTAATTGTGATCTCTGGATGTTCGGAGCATACTCTGAGCATATGCAGGATTGGGGTCTTGATATGGAAGTCTAGCATAATTGGCCTTGAAAACATGGTATTTCAGTTAGAGCGTGGATAGTGATGCATAGTTGCCATTTGAAATTCAGGGGTTCACTCGCTGTAATAAATAGGGACTAAAAAGAGGGGACACAAAGCCAAGCAAATAACTAGGAAGACATTAAGCTGTCACGTGTTTGACAAAAAAGCTTTCTGGAATACCTATAAATGTAGTCTACAAAAATACAGATGAAAATAAAATGTAGTCTTAGAAGAGGCTGTTGGAAAATGTCAATCAGATTTTCCTAGTGCAACAAATCAGTGGCCAGCTAGGATTTCATGGTTATTGTTACCTGAAAACTGCAGTTGCTTGGAACTTCAGAACAGAAACAGTTAGAACTTACCTTGTCATGTTTTAAAAAGACACTCTGTCTAACTCCTATCACTTCAGCTAAAAGGGAATGAGGAGACGGTTTCTACCCAGAGAGAGCAGTAGCACACAAACTGGGCTCGTCTACACTGGCCCCTTTTCCGGAAGGGGCATGTTAATTTCAGCTATCGTAGTAGGGAAATCTGCGGGGGATTTAAATAGCCCCCGCGGCATTTAAATAAAAATGTCCGCCGCTTTTTTCCGGCTTTTAGAAAAGCCGGAAAAGAGCGTCTACACTGGCCCCGATCCTCCGGAAAAGGGCGCTTTTTCCGGAGGATCGGGGCCAGTGTAGACGCTCTTTTCCGGCTTTTCTAAAAGCCGGAAAAAAGCGGCGGACATTTTTATTTAAATGCCGCGGGGGCTATTTAAATCCCCCGCAGATTTCCCTACTACGATAGCTGAAATTAACATGCCCCTTCCGGAAAAGGGGCCAGTGTAGACGTAGCCACAATGTATCCCAATTGTACTGGGAGGGAGCGAGGAAGGAAGGGAGGAAAGAAAACTACTTACATTATTTCTGGTTCAAAAATTGATCCCTGGTTATTTTACAAAATGAAAATTCTCTAGCTCGCTGAGAATACAGGTTATAGAAGCAAAAGGTCTTAACTTGCTGTTATCTTCTCCTTTTTACTTCTTAGTTTTCAGGAGTGTTGAGCCTGGATAACTACTGCTGAAGTCACCTCTGAAAAGCTGTTTCTTATTATTTTTTTTATTACACAGTATTTTTAAAATTGCAGCAAAATCTAAATCTCATGTGTCAAACACCTGGTCTGTATGTACTGGTTTCCTTTCTTAATCAATCTGTAGTATACTCATATAACCCTGTCAGTTATGTCATGTATGGTGAAGACTTTGAAGGGTTTAGTTCATACCCCAACTAAAAAAAACAACACATTTTCTCTCTCCTCTTGTCCGTTCTTATGTATGTTTTACTTGTTCACTCTAAGGCAGTTATGCTGAATGCTAATAAGAACATACAACATGTCCATCTGCAACAATTTATTTTAATTTAATTCAGGTTTCAAGTCAGTAAGTTTTTGTCTTCCACCCTTCATTTTAGAGTTCATTTAGTGCTTGTGATAAGTGCCATATGATATCTACTTGATGATAGTGGGACTGAAGTCTTCTATTTATCCATCCAAGAGATACAATGCAGGCAGAAGCATAGTAGGATTAGGTGCACTTCTCACCATCATGATTTTTGCCTTGAAGAAGTATGAGTGTAGTTCAATACGAAGTATATTCAGTCTTTGGGCTCTTCTGAAACTGCCAAGAATGTCAGTTTTGATTTACACACTTTGTCCACTAGGCACAAGACTACCAAACACCATTACCTACCTTGGTTAGTTTTACACCAGTGAGTAAGAGATAAAATGTATTTCATATCCATGCACCATTCCCCTCACCTATTCATGTTTTTTATAGTCATTCTTTTATTGGTGATTTACACATCAGATATTAATCACATTATTGGATTTTTGTTTCTACTTCCAGATACAAACAAGTATCATAGTTTATCTAGGATGGTAAATAATCTCAAAGGGTAAAAATGAAACCAACTAAAACCCAACCATTTTAAGAGGTGCAGTTTGGTAACTGAAATCTGAATTGTTTTCTTCAACACTATAGGCAATAAACTCTAGTTGTAGATGAAATAAACCAAATAAGACGACAAGGTAAAAATACAATATTTTTATTTGAATACTTTCAGCATCTGAAAACTGATGCTGCACCAATATGACAGTTTGAAACAGCAAGATTCTTTTTACAATAGTATAGACTGACAGAAGGGATTTGCACAGGTGTAAGTACATTTTGGTGCAAAATCCCCTATGTGTAGATAAGCCCTGTATTTATTAAAATTTCTCAAGTACTTTCTGATCCTTGGATAGAAAAATGATGGATTAGAAATGAGCCAATTGGAATTTGTGGTTTTAAGGAGTCTGATGTCATGTCCACACGACACTTTTTCTAATGTTAAGAAACTGTTTTTAAACAAAGGTTTAAATCAGTGGGTTAAGCAACGGTCGTTTTGGCTATTGTGGATTGGACATAACCACAATGTCAATAACATTTTGGAGTCTAAATTGTTTAATCTGTATTTGCATACACTGATTTTTAAACTATTTTGAAAAAATTGGTATGGCAGGAAAAACTAGTCTGGACAGGGTCTAGGTATTTACTGATGTTACTGTGTTTGTCATTTATAGTGATCAATAGCTAACAGATTAGCAGTTTTTTCTTTGACATTCTGAAAAGTAGAACATAAGTTTCCATATTTTTGTGTGATACTTGGCTGCAGAAAAACACGTTGGATCTTGTGGGTGTACCAAGTTAGAACCAATTATAACCTGCCTTACTTGTCATAGCACTCAAATATCTGACTGAATTTTATATTTCCTGATGTAATGAAGATTTTGCTTAATATTAACCCCCAGGAGGTTCTTCAGTAACCTCTTTCCCATTCATGAGCAATATTTGGTTGGAGGAAAATCTAAGGAAGACACCTTGTTTGTCAACAATACTGCCAGCAACTAACAATTTTTAAACATTTCATTCTAAAAACAAAACTCTAAGATAATAAATAATATTGGTGGGGTTTATGGTTTTGGGTTTGCTTGTTTGTTGGCCTGCCTTCTGGTGGGTTCATGTTTTTAAACTTTCAGGAACTGGCTGCCTCTTCCCCTAGGTATGTGATTTTCCTCATACAGGTACTTGTGTCTGAAATGCCTATTAAAAGAATGAAGAGGGGGAACTTCCTGATTGTAACAAAGGGCAAGTTCATTTTCTCTCTGCTAGTCCCTGGCCTGTAGTCACAAGTGGATGCAAACTCCACCTCCAGGGGAGACTGGAACACAGCACCTTAGCCTCCCTTACAGCTCATTCCTGGGGAAAGGAGGATGGACCCTTCTCGCTCTCCGTACCTTTGTCCACAGCCTTTCCTCTCCCCTGTCAGTCTTCCTTCAGACATCACGCCTCTGCTCGCTCCTGGCCTGGGCCCCCACTACTCGCCGGCTCACTGTCACCTCCTCTATGTTCCCACAATGCAAGGCGCTTGAACGACTGTCTGCTGAGCTTCCTAACCATAGAGAACGCCTTGAGTGAGGGCAACCGAGCTTCTTATACTTTCAATACAATGAGGAACGCGGCGGCCATCTTTTCTAGGGGCAGCCTGACTTCCACCGGAAGAGGAAGCGCTGGTGGGACAAAGCGCTGCTTGCCTCCAGCGCCATTGACACTGTGGCAGCCATGTTTGAAATGGGCAACACCACCAGTTGCGCCCTAAGCCGGCCTTCCCGAACAGCCTAGGGCCGCGGCCCGGCTTGCGTTCCACGAAAATGGCCGCCCGGCCGAGGCGGCGGCTGTTGAGGAGGCGTCAAGCCGCGGCTGCAGTCCGGCTGCTGGGCGTCCTGTGGCTGGCGTGCGTCGCCGCGGAGGGCGTTGTCGGCGGGGAGCCCCCGCCCAAGTGCGACGAGCTGAGACTGGGGCAATATCCTGAGTCCGTTTGGGGGCCCGGCTGGGGCGGGATGGGGCTCAGCCTGAGATCAGCCCCCAAGCTGGATGTGGGGGCGGAGCCGGGTGCAAGCTCTTTGCTTGGGATGGTTTGGGTGTCTCCTTCCCATCCCCGTTAGCGGCTCTCGACAGCTGTAGAGAGTGACTGAGACGCTTAATAGGGGAAGAAAGGGCTTCTTTCCTGGGGCTGGGGCTTGCTTTTATGGGGGAGGGGAGGCTGCTTCCCTTCTGTTATGTTACTGTTAAAATCACCCGGATGTTGTGATTCTGCAGGATGTAATTCGTTGGCAATATTTGGGAGGAAAGGGGTCAGCTTACAGTTTTCAATCTCGGGAGTGTGATAAGTAGGAATACAAGGGTTTCCCCAGTTGGGAAACTAATGAATGTTTAAAGGGGGGGCACATCTGGCTCCCACCCTCTTCCTCCAATAAGCCAATTCTTGGTCATTTTTGACAGCCGGTGACATTAATGGAAATCAGTAGTGGAAGATAATCAAGGAAAAGTTGACTTCTTATTCTGCTTTATTTAGCAATTGTAGTTCAGTCTTTTGGTAGCAGTAAGTAGGAAGTTTCACAATTCAGTTCCTGTTCAGGATTAGTCTGGTGCAGATGTGTGGCAGTTTATGATTTTTGAATTGATTTATTTACAATCTGTTGGATAGTATTGGTAAGTGGAACCTCTTTCAGACCAAATACTTGACAGCGAATCTGTCATGGAGCTGATTGAATACTGGTGTGCACTGACCCTTGTTCTAAAGAGCAAGGAAATAAAATCTGGATTTGAGGTGCTAGCTTTCCCTTTTTTAGTAGAGAATTGTTTTTTACTCTTCTTATAAGAGTTAACCACTTATATTTCTTTCAGGTGTTGGTGACAGCACTCAGATGTGCAGCCCAGGGCAGTGCATTGAAGCAACATCTCTGCTATTGTTAAGACTGAGAATAGTTTTCTCAATGCAGACCTTTCTGTAGACCACCAGCCAACCACCCATGATAAAAAAATGGGTGCAGGAGGGGTTGGGGATGCAGTGTCTGGTTGGGAGGTAGGGTGCAGGAGTGGACTGGGTGCGGGGGGGGGTATGGGAGAGAGGTGCAGAAGAGGGTTGGGGGTGCAGGGTATGGGCATGATGGAGATAGGAACACTTACTTGGCTCCATGCCTCCCACCGCTTCCAGGGACCACCCCACAATGCTCCCTTTGGCCATGATTCTGTCCAGTGGGAACAGCAGGGAAAACCTCCAGGTGAGCTGTTTCCTGTGCTGATGTTTCTCCAGCTCGGAGGAGGGGAGGGGGAGCAGCAGCACACAAAGCTGCTTCCTTCCCCCTTCAGCCAGATCCAACCTGCTCAGCTCACCCCCTTCTCCCCTGCAGCGGGAAGCTGGTGCTGGCACTTCAAGCTCACTAGGGGAGAGGGAGGGCTGTGGACTGGAGCATCAGCACAGACTCCCCACTGTGGGGTGGGGGAGGAAGCCCTGAAATTTGTGGCCCACCTGCAAGATGATTACGGACCACTCGTGGTCTGTGGACCACACTTCGAGAACCACTGGACAAGGGAAAGGAAAACTGACTGAACTAAGCTCAAATCGTAGGTGGGTGAAGAGCGAGTAGCACACTGTTACAGAACAGTTACGAGTTTGGTACAAAAACGGTTTTCCTTAATTATTTGAACATATATTTGTGAAGATCCTAAAATAGACAATAGCACACAAGAACCACAGAATTGTACAAATCAAACAGCATACGGTAAGGCTTTCTGAAGTCTAATACACATTTTGATCAGAGGAATGTATCTAGGAATGTGCTCAACTCATGCCCTTGTAGATCTGTGACTTGATTATTTTGAAATGTTACTGAATTCACTTTGTATGCAGTTCCACTGAGAGTATAGAAAACGTGTGGGTTTATTTTTGTTTTCAGTAGAGTGTTAAATAAAATGCTTAAACCACCCGCAGAAATCAGTAGAGCCAAAGCCAGTAGTATGTTTGGGTTGGTTTTGTTTTTTGGATTGTGAGAGTTGGTTGGTTGTTTCTGTAGGCCTCTTTGACTTTGAAGAACAAACTTCAAAATAGAACCACTTTGAAGAACTTAATGTTCTTCAGATATGCCTTTAGAGACTATAGGAGACTTCTGATGTATTAATCTGTTTTTTCTGGAGGTGACATATGTATGTGTCAGATATAAATTAACTGGTACTACCTCAGTGCCACATGTAGAAATACTTAATCACTCATTTCACTTAGAATAGTGTTAATTTTGTAAGATGTTCTGACTGAGTGAAGTAGTAGATTTTGACCATTACAGACCTGGGAAAATTAAGGATGTTAAGAGTTGGGTAATTCAGTAATTGTGTAGTCAGTACATTTTTTATTGACTACACGATTAGTTAGTAAGGGAAGGCTTCTTCAGTCCTGGCTCGCCGGGTCTAGGAGCTACCCACGCTGTGGCTCTGCAATTTAAATGTAGTACGAACTGGACACGCAGGCAGCCCAGCTCCTACTGCATTTAAATACAGAGGTGCAGCAGGGGTAGGTCCCGGACTCTATAGTGGCATTCTCAGAAATGCTTCCAGTTCCACACTTGGGTCCAGGTAGGCAGGCAGAGCTTCAGAGTCTCAATGCGTGGATGAGACAATGGTGTAGGGAGGAGGGGTTTAGATTTATAAGGAACTGGGGAAACTTTTGGGATAGAGGGAGCCTATACAGGAAGGATGGACTCCAGCTAAACCAAAGTGGACCCAGACTGCTGGCACTTAACATTAAAAAGGTCGCAGAGCAGTTTTTAAACTAAGAGATGGCGGGAAGCTGATTAGTGCAGAGGAGCATGTGGATTGTACAGAGACTTTCTCTTAGAGGAGAGTCTATTGATAGAGATTCTCTAAGTTTTAGTTAGGAAGAGAGGATGGAAGAGGCTGAAGTATGGGCCAGATCAGAACAGAAACATTCACATAAAAAAGAATTTGACACATCAGAAAAGGGCAGACAAATAAACAGTGACAAGTTTTTAAAGTGCTTGTACACAAATGCTAGAAGTCTAAATAATAAGATGGGTTATCCAAAGTGCCTCGTGTTAAGGGAGGGTATTGATATAATAGGCATCACAGAAATCTGGTGGAGTGAGGACAATCAGTAGGACACAATCATACCGGGGTACAAAATATATTGGATGGACAAAACAGGTCGTGCAGGGAGCAGAGTGGCACTATATGTGAAAGAAAATATAGAATCAAATGAAGTAAAAATCTTAAATGAATCAACATGTTCCATAGAATCTCTATGGATAGTAATTCCATGCTCTACTAAGAATATAACAGTAGGGATATATTATCGACCCCCTGACCAGGACAGTAAAAGGGTATGTGTACACTTGCAGCTTCTACACTTGCACCCGAGTTCGAACTAGGGATGCAAATGTACGCATCCGAAATAGTCAATAAAACAGGGATTTATATATCCCGCGCTTCATTAGCATGATCTCACCGGCGTGTTACGCCAACCAACAGCTGTTTCGAAAGTGAAAGTGCGCGCCAGGACGTGTTAGTTCAAATCAAAAAAATGAGGAGTAATGTTAGTTCGAACCAAGGGGTGTGGTTTGAACTAATGCGTCCTGGCGCGCACTTTCACTTTCGAAACAGCTGTTGGTTGGCGTAACACGCCGGTGAGATCATGCTAATGAAGCGCGGGATATATAAATCCCTGTTTTATTGACTATTTCGGATGCGTACATTTGCATCCCTAGTTCGAACTCGGGTGCAAGTGTAGAAGACATACCCGTAGGGATTATGAAATGCTAAGGGAGATTAGAGAGGCTATCAAAATAAAAAACTCAGTAATAGTAAGGGAGTTCAGTTATCCCCATATTGACTGGGTACATGTCACCTCAGGACGAAATGCAGAGACAAAATTTCTCGATATGTTAAATCACTACTTCTTGGAGCAGCTGGTATAGGAACCCACAAGAGGGGAGGCAATTCTCAATTTAGTCCTTAGTGGAGCACAGGATCTGGTCCAAGTAGTAACTATAACAGGAAATAGTGACCATAATATAATAACATTTAACATTTCTGTGGTGGGAAGAACACCTCAGCAGCCCAACACTGTGGCATTAAATTTCAGAAAGGGAAACTATGCAAAAATGAAGAGGTTAGTTAAACAGAAATTAAAAGATACAGTGACTAAAGTAAAATCCCTGCAAGCTGCATGGACACTTTTCAAAGGCACCATAATAGAGGCCCAGCTTAAATGTATACCCCAAATTAAAAAACACAGTAAAAAAACTTCAAAAGAGCCACCATGGCTTAACAACCATATAAAAGAAGCAGTAAGAGATAAAAAGGCATCTTTTAAAAAGTGGCAGTCAAATCCTATTGAGGAAAATAGAAAGAAGAATAAACACTGCCAAATTAAGTGTAAAAATGTAATAAGCCAAAAAGGAGTTTGAAGAACAGCTAGCCAAAAACTCAGAAGGTAATACCACAGCAGGAAGCCTGCTAAACAGCCAGTGAGGCCCCTGGACGATTGAGATACAAAAGGAGCACTTAAAGACGATAAAATCATTGCGGAGAAACTAAATGAATTCTTTGCTTCAGTCTCTACGGCTGAAGATGTTAGGGAGATTCACAAACCTGAGCCGTCCTTTGTAGGTAGACAAATCTGAGGAATTTTCACAGACTAAAGTGTTGTTAGAGGAGGTTTTGGAATTAATTGATAAACTTAACAGTAACAAGTCACCAGGACCAGATGACATTCACCCAAGGGTTCTGAAAGAACTCAAATGTGAAATTTGTAGAACTTTTAACTATGGTTTGTAACCTGTCCTTTACATTGGCTTCTGTACCCAATGACTGGAGGATAGCTAATGTAACGCCAATATTTAAAAAGGGCTCTAGAGGCGATCCTAGAAATTACAGACTAGTAAGCCTAATGTCAGTACCGGGCAAATTAGTTGAAACAATAGTAAAAAATAAAATTGTCAGACACATAGAAGAACATCATTTGTTGAACAAAAGTCAACATGGTTTCTGTAAAGGGAAATCATGTCTTACTAATCTATTAGAGTTCTTTGAAGGGGTCAACAGGATCTCATGGCTACAGCAGGACCGGGCAGCAGGAGCCAAGTCAAAATGGTTAACCCACTCTTGTTTAATCATTTAACCATTCCTTCTTCCAATTTTTAATGTATTTATTTTCACAACACCTATGTGAGATAAGGTAGTACTGTAACCTCCATTTTACAGATTGAAAACTGAGACACTCAGTGATTTAAGTGATTAGCCAATAATCACACAGGATATTTGAGGCAGAGTAGAAATTGAACCTCCATTTCTCACAGAGTAATGCCCATTCTCAGTGCCAGGTTCATGCAGAACCAGAATGAGTAAGTCCAGCTTTGCCTCAGATTCTACCTATAAAACGTATCTAATGACTGAGATTTTGGTCCCAGTTCAATTTCTAGTGGCAATCTCGGAAAAAAGACTACACTTTTTTTTTTGTTGTCCTTGAGAGCTGTTGGAATGTTACTGAGGTTTGACAGAGGAGAAATGCTGGCGATAGCCTGTTGGCCTGACCTGTCCAGGTAATGTCATTTATGAGTACTGAAGGTCAGAATTAAAATATATAAAGGAAAAAGACATAAAATGTTGTCTTCCTTAAAACCGGATTTCAGAACTAGAAAGTGGCAAGTTGTGAATGGCTCGTTTTCAGTTGGGGTTCTACAAACTTTAGGAAATATCACTCAATTGAAACTTTAAGGATCTAGAAATTGTGACATTTAGGTGAGGCATCTAATTTGTATGTTTGCTTAAAATTTATCAGGGAAAATTTAATGCAAGACAGTTTGGTTATAGTGTCTGTTGAAAAGACATAGTCGTTAGTCACACCCAGCAGTTCATTGATTATTTGCACTTCAGTGCAATAGAAGAATTTATTATTTCTTTCACACTGCATTTTTGAAATCTCAATATACACCATGGCGCCTGTCCTGTTATTGCTTAGTTTTAATCATCTATATTGTGTCCTCAGTTCCATGTCTTCCGGCACCAAATATTACTTGTAAGGATTACAGTGGCAATGAAAACAACTTTACTGGGAAGGAAGTTGGATTTTACAAACCCATTGCATGTCGTAATGTGTAAGTGAATTACTGTGTTTGTAATCTGTTTGCTTCAGTTTTTATGTTATTTTAAATGGTGTAGTAGCACATGTTGGCAAGAGGGAAAAATAGATAAATCCACTTCATTTCAGAATACTAGGTGAGAGGCATGGTGTAGGGTATCCTACGTGGGAGAAGGCACAGCCTTCCCAAACTGCCAGGCATGCCCCACCCACACTCTGACTCCAGAACGCTTGCTGTAGGTGTACTGAGGCAGAGTGTTGCTGCCCCGGAGCATCCTCCTCCCTCGTCATGCTGCTGGGCCAGGGAGGCTCGGACGGTGTACCTTCCTCTCTTCCTGGTGCTCTGGGTCCAGGGAGGCTGGAGCCACATGTTCTCCTTCCTCTCCAGTGCTTCCGGACCAGGGAAGCTGGACCTGCATACCTTCTTCCTTCCTGGTGATCTGGTGCTGGGGAGGCTTAGGCTGCACGCCCTTCTCTCTCCCCAGTCCTCCAGGCTGGGGTGCACGTGCTTACTGGCTTCCTCCCCTCTCCTTTTGTCCTGTTTGCTGTCCTGCCTCTTCCACTTGGTGGGGGGGCAAGCCCTCAGCAGAAGGGGCGGGGCTGTAGGTGAGGCTGGAGGCCTGTTCCCCCCCACCCCCCAGCCCTACGTTCACTGACGGCCCATGGTAAGAGGAATTAGTTGATAGAAATGTTGCATGACAATTGTTATGTTAACTAGCATGGAACTAGTTGAGAGATGTTCTAACAAAGCTATTAAATTGCTTAAAGGCAAAATATATAATTATGTAAGAAAATCTACCTCTATGCTAGATTTTTAACTTGATACTGTTTCTGAGGGTATATCTATGCAACAGCCAAAGGTGTGATTTGCAGATCTGGTAAGCATACCCATCCTAGAACTGATTTAGCTAAGGCTGTAAATAGTAGTGAAGACGCAGTATCATGAGCTTCAGATTAATAATGTGAGTATATACCCAAAGGGACCAAGCAAGCTTGTACAGCCCATGCTAAAGTACATGCCACTGGGACTTCATTGCTATTTTTAGTATCCCTAGTGCAAGCATGCCTACCTGTGATGCAAATCACACTTCTGATTGCCATGTAGACATAACCCAAGCCTTTGGGTCTGTTAATAAATACTCTGCTGAACAGTTGTTGTGAAACAGAAATGCTTCTTGTCATGGAAAATGTGAACTCTAAGAGGACTGAAATCTTCTTCCAGCAGCTCTAAATATGCATTTTGCAGGAACCAATCCTCACCTATTCTCTTGTGTGACTTGATGTCTACGAACACACATTTTTCATTCTAAAGGGCCAAACAGTCAGATCAGTGAAGATGTCACAGATGACAGTTCTAATCACAGACTGTTGACAGTGCAGAGTGTTGCGGGAATTCTCTCTACATACTGCAATTATTATTTTTTATTCTTTATTATCTAATACTAAAGATGACAGTACACTTAGCAAAGGCTCTTTACATCTTCTCTTTACTGGAATTCTAGAGTACATTTCTTTATAAAGTTGGTCTTTTTCGTTGCTCAGCTACAGAATCTTAGGAAGTCATACCTCCAGCAATCCTAGCTGAACTTTGCCTGCGTTACAAGTGGAAAAGCCAGTTCCCTCTAACTTAATACTCTTACTATTCAACATTTTGCTTACCTCAGCCACTTTCTTGTGCAGTGTTAGTGTAATGTAGCTCAGTTCAGATCCACCACTAATTTGTCTATATTTACTTTGCTGGACAGTCTAAACTCAACATACTCAAGGCCAGTATATTATTTTAGCAAGCCACATTAAACTGCTAGCTTAGTACATTGTGACCACCACTTTCCATCAAAATTATTTTTCTCTGCTGCATCTGTGATGAAAGCCTGAGAACAAGATGAAATCTGACCTAATGCACTAGAATTTGCTCCCCTCCTCCCTAATTGAAATATAAAGACATTCCTAGAGTTGTTTTCCTCTTGTTTAGATTTTTTTTAATATAAATATTACCACCAGTATTGTGCTTATTAATTTTTTATTAGGTTCACAACTTGGAATTAAAAATTCAAGAAATAAAATTACAATAGTCCTGTGCTACCTCTCCATTAGACACTAAAAGCAATCTTCTTCCCATGATTACTTAAAGATTTTTCTGGCTTCAACATTCTCACAGCTGTTTATATAGAAAAAGAAGTTTTTACCTGAGTTGTTTAGAACTCTTGTAAACTTTATCTGTGGCAACAGGCATAGTTTTGCATGCACTCTGAAAAATACGTGCTGTCTTTGCTAGAAAGGGTAAATGTCTTTAATATTCCCAACCTTCATTAGTGTAACACGATTTTAGTTAAAATGAATATCTGCGTAGTTAAAACCATATCCAGTTTTAGAAGGCCATTTTTATCCCTTAAATAATGGTAACTTTGTTCTAAACAGTGGTATGTTCATATTTGCTACTACAACAGTAAAACTACCCCAACAGTACTTTTTTGAGCTTTTCTGATGCCTCATTTGAGGGTTGGTTTTTTTTTTGGAGAACTTGACTGTCCTCTAACAGAAAGAAGTGAGCAAAATGTAAAACAGGAACATTTTATTCAAAATACTTTGTGATGGAGTTCTCATATTTATATAACATTTGTCACTTTTAAATTGTGAAAACATCAGTGAGTTAACAGAAGCAGTTAAGTATTGTTGAACCTAAAAGATGGGATGATGAAGATGCAGAGGTTATTCCTTGCCCAAGGCCACAACTTAGGACTCGTCTACATGGTGCTTTAGTCTGCATGAGAGACGTACACTTTAGTCCACCCTAGCATGTTGGCCACTGACTGGCCCATGTGACCTTGCTGACATGCACTAAAAGTTCCATAGTGCCTGTTAATCAAGTCTCATTTCAAATAGTACTACATGAATGTGCACTAGGGAATTTTTAGTGTATACCAACAGGGTCCACGAATGCCAGATAGCCCACACTAGCATATCATGCACTAAAATTTTACACCTCTGTAGTACAGATTAAAGCACCCTGTAGACAAACCTTAAGTAGAAGATCTATTTTTATAGCTGAGCCAAAGTCTCAACACTGTAATTCTACTAGATAGAGTGATCTCTCTGTGTTGCTATTGAATAAAGTTAATAAAGCAGCCTGGTGTATATATGTAAACCAGGATACTTTGAGCAAGAGACTTCCACAGTATCTCAAAGAAGAGCCTATGAACTCTTCATTAGAATGCTCCACCAAGAAAGATTTGGGAGTCTGTCCTTGATTTTTCCACATCAAAGGGTTGTTTACAAATCTAGGAGTGTTCTAAATTTGCATGGCATGTTCTGCTCTGCATAACGTACAATATTATGAGTTCTATTGGGCTATGTGTAGACTGCACGTATAGACTACGTTCTATTTTCGAAAGAGAATATGCAAATGCCATGGGAATTTGCATATCTTTCTTCTGATCTCACTTTTGAAAGCAGATCTTTCAAAAGTGAAAGTAATCTGGACGTGGTTTTTTTTCAGGAAAAAAAACCCACCTTTTTCCAAAAAAACTCTCTTCCTTTAAAAATGAGGTTTACACAGTTTTTTAAAAAGGGAGAGGTTCCAAAAAACTGCGTCCAGACTACTTTCACTTTCGAAAGACCCACTTTCTAAAGTGAGATTGAAAGAAGTTACAGTGTAGTCTAGAATGTACCCTTAAATTCAATTGTATTACTTTCCACAATTAAAGTTAAACATAGGCTTAAGTCTTTGGAGAACTGACAAAAGACATTAGAAGAGCAAACCAAATGGTATGCTCTTTAAGAACAAGCATTTGCTCATTAGGGGCAGCAGAGGATAACGGAATTTTTTTTTAATGTGGATGTGGAAAGAGTAAAAACTACTGTAGTGGGTCAGTTGTGAAGAGATAAACAACAGAAACAAAAAGAAACAAAAAATGACATCTGTCACATTTGTAAATCCTTTGACATGAGTGATTTTAGGCATAGGGAAGTGGTTCATCACCTGACCTGTTCTAATAGTCATTGGGGTTAGTTTAAAGTTGAAGGAGTAAAAATAAGCCAGGGGTGGAAGAGGGAGGAGGAAAAAAGGAAGAGAGATCAGTTTCCTGTAGCATTACCATGCTTCCATTTTTAGGAGAGTTCTTCCTTTTCTTTCCTCCCCTTTATTTCTGATGTGGTTGCTGTGCTGCTACCTCCTTGTTTTTCTGAGGCCTTATTGAAATTCTGTACTCCCTTTCCAAACATTTCAATTCATAGGCTAGTTCTCCATTTATTATACCACAGTTTTGGATCTAGAAAACTTTGAATCTGAAGGGATCTGAAAAGCAAGTTGTGCTCTTTACATATAATTCCTTTTTATATCAGAATTACATTTGTACCCAAGTGTCTGTGCTGGGATGCTGACACTTCACAGTATATTAATGTAATTTCAGAGGGTTTCAGCTAAATTTTTTACATGAAACTGTTACTGTTTTTCATTTGTGATGTTATTGAAAGAAGGAAGTTTTAAATTTAGTTATTTGATGTGTGCCACTGGGTTCCAGGAATCCCAGTGTGGTTCATGTTGCTAAATATATAACACTGTGGCAAGAATGAGTTAATCACTAAGTATTGCCATTAAATTTTCAAGTCAGTAAAGTCAGATAATAAGCAAAAATTTGAATATTTATAAAAGGTGTTTGTAACTCTTCTTGGCCACTGCTTTTGTGAAAATGAAAAATAGTGTGGATCTAAGACTTTATTTTGGATACTTTCACTAATTGCTGACACTTGGCAATTCAGTTGTCAAAATAGTGAACCGTTGCGCATTTTAAGGTTTTAATTACAGTTAATTCTAATGCCCCTTTCCAAGACTGGTTCTTTCCTAGTGTGCCAATGGAAAGCTCTGGGATTGTTAGTAGCTATAGCATCTCTAGGTTTATTGATTAACACTAAGCTCACTTCAAAAGTGACTGAAAGTTACCAATGGACATGTCCACATCATTATAACAGTTAATACTAGGTAGCACTCTTCTTGGCAATTTCAGGAGAGAGTCCAGAGATCCTTTCACTTCTGCTCGAGTCAAGTCTTTGTGAATAGCTAAAGGGCTTCCATCTTTAGGGCTGTCATTTTGACATCCTTTGCCAGCAGTACATTTTTGTGCAGTCACCTTATTTATTCATTTGTGATAGATGAAGTGTTTCCTTATCTTAAATACTTGTCATTTCTTATCTGGCCCTTTCCTCATACTAGGCTGCTGTCACAACTTTCTCCAATAGGCCAATGCTGACTTCTTTCCAGACCTCATCTATAAACACCTACCTTTGCAGGTACCTCATCTGGCCCAGGACACTTTCTATTTTTTGGCTTGGCTATGGAAGTGACTCTACCAGGCAAATTTGGTGCAATGCTGGGGCTTTCTAATCAATTGTGCCCCAGAATGCACAAATGGAGAGGAAATATTCTAGAAAGGCAGGATTGTGTCAACAGCTGACTCATATCTTATTTAAACAAGAATGATGATCCACCTTAAGTAAAAGAACGGATATTCTGTTGGAATCCAAGTACGCTATTGAAGTCTACGTTAAAGTGGATAGCCACACAGATAATAACAATATGCTAGTTTTTCAATGTTGAATTATTGAAGACTAAGTTAAAATTGTGTAAGCTAAACAACACAAGTCCCCTCTTTTATAAAAGGAAACTTAACAGGCAATTGACTGTCATTTTTAATTTAGTCAGAATATACACAATTTAATATCTTGTTTTAACCACAGTCATCTTATATCTTTTGACAGAAATGGTTACTCATACAAAGTGGCAGTGGCTCTGTCTTTATTTCTTGGATGGTTGGGAGCAGATAGATTTTATCTCGGATATCCTGCCTTAGGTGAGTTGTTTTTTCCTTGTTTTGATTTTAAGTAATACAATGTTAATGCTATATGTCTGCAGTTTACATGCATATTTATGTCTTTACTACTGACTTCTGATGCTCGCTTTTTTCAAATCTACTAACTAGTGCACTTATTTCACTATAAAAGCAAAGCCTTTTACAGTGACACATGCCCATGTTTTAGCCGTTTAGAATGGCTACATGGCCAAATTCTGCCTTGATTTAAGTGACCATAACTCTTTTTGAATTTAGTAGTGATGAAGGAGAGGTATTGTAATCCAGGGTTAGGGCATGTGATTGAGAGTCAGCAAGTCTATGTTCTGTTCCCAGCTTCGCTGCCATTCTTTTGAATGAATTTGCACTAGTCACTTAACCTTTCTGAGCCTCACGTATACCCTTTGTGGTAGAATTGTTTGAGATTTGTTGAGGAGAAGAGATATGCTATGATTAAGCATTAATTATGGAAATTGACATTGCTTACCCAAAGCTGACGTTGGACATTGCTATTGATAGAGGCAATGTAGTTTCCACCCATTTGTCCTTTATGATGGGGATCGCTGGGTAACAGTTCAAGTGCCTCTGGCTAAAAAGGTGAGGAACTTAGTATAATGTTTTTAAGTTGCTTCGGTAAGTACTATTTTCACTACAAAAATATATATTAAGAAAATTTAGCTGTGAAAATACAAGATATAGCAGTTCTTCAATTCTATACACTATTTTTCTCTCTCAAAAGTCAGCATGAACATTCCAATAGCAGTCTTAACTGATGCCTTATTTATTTTCACATAGTGCAGGTCAACAATTTATATAACTTATAGCATGCTGTAGGTAATCATCTGTATAAAGACTATGAATCAGTTATTGGTTTTCTAAGTGTTACATATTTTATGTAGTAAAAGATACACTGTAGAAAGACGTGTGTAACAGAAATGGAGCTGCTCTGTAATTTATGAATACTGTTTATGTTGACCTGGTTGTTAGGATGTTTTCTGTGTGAACATATTGATTATATTTAGTAGGGAGCTAGAAGGAAAGCCAGTATAATAGAAAATAATTTCTCAAAATAAGACACTTCCCTTCAACACTCAAGGGCCATTAAGAGACAGTGCTGGATAGAAAAGGCCTAGAAGATCAAAAGAGGATTTAAAAGAAAGATTTTCTCAAAGAGGGCAGTAGCTATTAGGGAGAACAGTCTGACACACAGGACCTGATGAGGAGTTGTTTTAGGTCATCAGGGTATGTTAAGCCTTGAGGTAAAGTAGATGTGTTTGTGGACTATTTTAAAATGCTTTGTTTCTACCATTAAAATAAATATTTTAATTTTTAATAGGGGTTTTTGGTCACTTAATACCTGGTCACAGAAACCTGAAGAGAAGAACTGCAGGTGCCAAACCTAGCCAGACTTACTGGGAAAGCATGGTTGATAAATAGTTCGGGCCTTGAGCTACAAGAGTGCAAGAACTGTAGAATTACACCCCCGGAGGCATATAGGCACGAGACCTAATTCATGTTCTGCAATTAGAATGTGTGTGTGTAATAGAACATGCTATATATTCTTATAGTTCAGTGTAATTTAGTTATTATACATTAGTGATGCATCTGCTGAAATGAGCTAAATGTTTTCATGGAACTTTCACAATATAATGCTGCTAGAACATTTACCTGTCATTGCTTGGGTCCTTAACTCAAATAAGTTTTGTTTCTCTTCATTTAAATAATTGTTCTGGGGGTGGGGCTGGCTAAGGGGTTCAGTATGGAAGCTGTCCCGGGGAAAGAAGATAACCCCAACCCTCTCTCACTGCAGCAGCTTTTGGCCAGGTGAGAAGCACCTGTCCAGCCTGCTTGCAGCTGCAGCAGGCACAGCTGGGAGGAAGGGTGCATGTCCCCCATCTAGGAGACAGACAGACAAACAGATATATAAATAGACATACTCTCTAAAATATGTAATAGAGATCCCGATGTGATATACTGGGACTGGCAGAGATGCATTGGATGGCATCGGGAGAGATGTGCGGTTGCTAAGTTATTTGGTCAGGGAACGAAGCGAAATATGAGGCAGGAGTCGGATTCCTTCTTAGCAAAAGAGCTAGAGGAGCATTGTTAGGATACAAACCGGTGAGTGCAAGAATGATAGTAGCCAAGAGTCAAAGCAAAACTGTTCAACATCTCGGTCATTCAGGTGTATGCACCCACGTCAGACAGCACAGAGGAAGAGATCGAGCTATAAAGATTTGACAGAGATGCCAAAGAGAGATGTGTTGATCATCGGAGGAGACTGGAACATGAAGATTGGAACAGATAACGAAGGTTGGGAGAGAGTCATGGGAACGTTTAGATATGGAGAAAGAAATGAACGAGGTGAGAAACTACTAGAGTTTGCTATGGAGCATGAGATGGTGATCTGCAATACGAAAGTCCAACAAAAGGACTGTAGGAAGTGGACATAGCGATCGAACGACGGGAAATCCAAGAATATGATAGATATGATCCCGATAAGAAGAAGATAGGTAATATCAGTACAGCAATGCCGAACTTTCCAAGGAGTGGATATGAACTCAGACCACAGTCTAGTGATTGCGAACATCAAGATGAAACTTAAGAGAAAGTATAAGACACAGTTTAGGAAATGAAGAGACGTGGCGAGGCTAGGCAAGGAAAAAATAAGGAATGCATACAGAGCAGTGCTCGAAGAGAAGATCAGGAATGTGGGCACAGAGGAAGACCTAGATTAGAGAGCCAAAGAGATAGCTATGGTGATAGAAGAGGCAATTGAGCAGATGGTTCTGGAAGAAGGGAAGATCAATAAGAAATGGATTACACAGAAGACACTGAAGTTGGTCCAAGAGAAGAGAATATTGAAGATCAGATAGGATATCTCCAAGAGGGTGGAATAGCAATATAGAGTGAAATGCAATGAGGTAAGGGAAGTGGTCAGAATGGATAAGACAAAGGGGTTAGAGGAGCAGTGTGAAGACATACAGAGGTATTACGGCGAGTGTAAGATCAGGGAGGTGTATAAGCTGATTAGGAATATTAATAGGAAGTGGCAGCCGAAGCAGATGGTGATCAAAGACGAGAATGATAAGGTGCTCATGAACAAGGAGAAGGTTGTGCAGTGATGGACAAGATATTGTACCGATCTGTACAAAGCACAGTTGGACCCGAGTGTCTGAGAGACCAATCGAAGAATTGAAAGAGATATCGCTGAACATTGAGAGCAAGACTGATATTTTGAAGAAGGAAGTAGAAAGAGCAGTGAACTGACTAAAGAACAATAAGAGCCCTGGATATAAGATCGCGGGAGAGATGATCAAATACAGCAGAGAAAGTATGATTCAGGAAATACACCGACTATGTAGTATAGCATGGAAAGAAGGGAAGGCACCTAAGGAATAGACAAGATCTGTGTGAGTGACAATACACAAGAAAGGAAGTGCTTTGCAGTGCAAGAACTACAGAACGATTGCCTTAACGAGTCATCTAGGCAAGGTGCTGATGATACTGATGGAGAGATTGAGATCGCAGATAGAAGAACATCTAGCAGATGAGCAAGCAGGATTTAGGAAAGAGAGAAGTACCATACGACAGATATTGGCACTAAGATTGATAGTGGAGAAATCTTAGTGATAGCACAAAAATATCTACAATTGCTTCATCAATTTTCAGAAGGCATTTGACAGAAAATGACTTGGGTGGTGGTGGAGTCGTACGGAGTGGATAGCAGACTAATACAGTTGTTGAAGGATGTCAACGATAATGCGGAGGCAGCGGTGAGAACATGCGGAGACTTGGGAAGTTAGTTTAGAACGAGTAGAGGTACAAGACCAGGAGTTCCAATATTGCCAAATATCTTCATCACGCACTTAGAGAGTGTGATGGACAAGATCAAGGAAGAGGTAGAAGAGAGATATTGGTGCATGGGATGAGAATTAACAACTTGAGGTTCACGGATGACATAGTTATCATCGAGGAAGATGAAGAGAAGCTAGCAAGAACGGGGCAGGTGGTAAATGAGGAAGGGAAGCAGTATGGACAAATTATGAATATTGAGTAAACGAAGACAATGGTATTTGGAGATAAGGAAATAGGGAGGAAGATCAGTGTAGATGGGATTGAACTAGAGAACGTAGAGAAGTTCATGTATTTGGGGAGCAACATGACGTATGATCTAGACTGTAAGAAGAAAATAGCGACTAGAATAGCAAAAGCAAGAGTGAGTTTGAAGGCGATGGATAAGATCTGGAAACGCAATTAGCTTAGGAACGAAGCTGAGCATCTTGAAAACATGTGTATTTAGCAGCATGTGTGAGACATGGGTGATAACGAAAGATTTGAAGAGAAGGATATTGGAATTCGAGAGGAGTTGTTATAGAAAGATCCTGAGAATAGGATGGATACAGAAGGTCACCAAAAAGGAATTATATAGGAAGATACAGCTGAAAGAGAACCTACTGCAGAAGATTATACAACAGAAGTTACAGCTCTTCAGGCATATCTGCAGAATGAACGAAGAGCAAAAAGTTAAGATCCTGGTGTTTGGCATAATGGATGGTCCGAATAGGAGAGGCAGACCCCACAGAGAATGGGTAGATGATATAGTAGATTGGTACGGAGCTAGTCTACAGAAACTAAGCCACTCCGCACTGGACAGGGAAAGATGGAAGGAAATAGTGAGGGAAGCATTGGACACCAACGGGTGTTGAGCCCATGCTTGTTGATGATGATGATAATGTCCCTTGCTCCACCCCTGCCAGCCCCAGGCGGTTATAGCTGTCCCAGTCCCCATCTCTGGCCTCTTGCTGCCCTTCTTCCCCCTCCTCCCCCCAGACTTTTTACAGTATAGCTCCCTCCTACCAGACACCTCCCTTTCCATTTTATGAGAAACAGTTAAATTCCAGACACATTCCATTGTCCTGGCACAACCAAACCCTCAGCTTGCTTTAAGTTATAAAAAGAGGAAGCTGCATACCAAATTTGGTGGTCCTAGCTTTTACCGT